CCCATCAGTACTAACAGTACTGCCCTGGGGTGCACCAATGGTGTGATTCAGTGCAAGCCAGCTTTTTATGACTATTGAAGGCTCTACTCTTGTGTCTAACACAAAGAGCTCAGTGGGTCTAAAGAGCTAATAGGTACATCACTAAGCATCAAACAAAATATGACAAAAACATGCTTGAAATAGGCACTTAATATTTTTATTCTGAAGACTAAAAGTATGGATGAGAAGAAGCAATGTTAGAGTAAGGAGTAAACAACTCTCTTAATGTTTTCCTATCATTTTTCTCAAGCCCTGATTTGTATCTGAGTAAAATATCATTATGGAATACCAGCTATCTCCAGCTGTATGTGTATTACGGTAATATTTTTATTCTGAAGACTAAAAATTGTATGGATGAGAAGAAGCAATGTTAGAGTGAGGAGTAAACAACTGTCTTAATGTTTTCCTATCATTTTTCTGTTCCTCCAGCAAAAACCAGAAAGAAAGGAGAAGCAAGCAAACAAGAGGAGGAGGTGGGTGCTCATACTCGAAGTATATCTTTGCCTATTTCTCATTCAAAATAAACACAGAAGAGTTAAGTACCATTAATGAAACATAATCAAGGAAAGGTAAAAAACAATCTTAGAGGACTTGGATTTGGAGGCAGCACACCACCATTTATGCTTTCAGATTAAAAATCTATATAGCAAGGCTGATGTCCAAGTAAACGCATGTTATGCCATGTTTTATACAAAGGTTCTTGGCTCTGAAGGAAGGCGCATTTTCATCTTAGAGGTGCCAGTCAAGGCTATTGTTTGAGGACAGCACAGTATAACACACACGGAGATCACTCCCAGCAATAACAATTTCCAGCCTATAAAGTGAGACGGAGGACGCGACAGGCCCGAATCGACGAGAAAAGAAGCAATTTCCTTTCTCCCTCTTTTAACCAGGCAGCCCGCACTCCCCTCCTCCTTACTCGAAGCTCCCGGACGAAGACACAGCGGAAGAGCCGCTGCCGCTCTCTGTCGAAGTACGGCCCTCAGGCTCATCCCATTCCTCAGGCGGCGGCTCCCGGGGAACCTGCAAATGCAACAACGACGGCGGCGCCTTCTCCATCATAAGCCAATCTCAGCCTCCTCCGAAACCAAGCCGTTCCACTCCGCCGCCATGACACCGAAACCCGGAAGGCCGCGGGGAAGCACGTGACTCTCGCCCGACCGTCCCATTGGCGGCGCCCGGGGAAGCCATGGCAACAAAGGAAGCTGTCGCGGAGTCTTTTCCTAAGGCGAAAAACTGCAAAGACGGGCCGCTTAAGTCGCCACACCAAACGCTGTCCCGCCTTTTCTTCTGTTTACTTGGAAATCAGCCTGGCTACAGTTATTAAGGATGAGACCTTTTGGAGTTCACTAAGATATAGGGGCTGAAAAATGATTTGGCGGCCCTTGACAGCCACAAAGCCCCGCCCCCAATCCCTTAGTTCAGTCGAGTTTACTCGGGTGCAAAAGGCGTGTAGATTGGACTCTTAGCAGCCAGTCTTATATGCCACTATCTCCAGTGAGATGACTATGTGTATGCTAGAGAAAAAAATCCCACGTATTCAAGTGGAATGATTTGTCAATGAATATGCCCAGGGTTGCACGATTAAAGCATTTCCCTTGCATTCTGATCTGGGAGCTTCCCAGACTGTCAAATCTCTTCTAATTTACAGTGGAGTGGGTAGGAACAACTCCCAAACTCAGCTCCTCAGCATGGCAAGTAACCCGCGTTCAGCTATTTTTAAATGGTCCAATGCAATAGTAATAGCCACAGAAAAGCCAGGACAGTAATTTAAATACAGTAATCAAGCCTGAGAAAGTATCTAGTACAATAGGATGTGATTTATAACTTTTGATTTACAGAGAAGCTACCTGTTAACAAAATATGTGATATTATTTTAAGTGCAAAAACGTATATGGCTCTTCCTTTTTATTCTACTAATTAGTTATATGCCATCAAATTGGAACTGAATTATATCTATCTTAGTAAGACTTTCAGGGTGGGTGATATAGTGTATTTAATGAGTGGTTTTTACCAATTCCACTCTCCCAGTGAGCTTCCATGGCTGAGTGGGGATCTGAACGCTGGTCTCCAGAGTCCTAGTCTGTTCCTCAATCTACTACATCACACTGGATACTTTATTGTATTAGAGACCCACCATGTTATGCCTTGTAAATATATTTCCTATCTATCTCTCACACATTGCAGTTGAAACTTCAACCTAGGCATAGAAATGTGTACTGCATTCAGATGTTAAGTCACCTGAATTCAAAAAGACTAACCCCTATGTAACTGTGGACAGCCATTTGTTGTTGACTTTTATTACCTTGCACTCTTTCAAGTGGGAAACTGCATTATCGCATCCAGTCTTACCCAGCTCCAACAGAGACCAGGATCCAGCTAGATTTTTCTAGGGCACAACTGAGCATGTGATGCAGTCTGCAAAACAGTGTATACTACTTGTCCTGTTGCTTTTGTGTATATTTTGTGACTCTAATGGAATTTTGCCTACACTAATTTTAATAACTGCCATTCTTGGCTTTATTTCTTGCTGTCACGTTACACGTGGCAGTAGCTATACTGAACTGTTACTTATGTATATAGTATTATTTCTGTCTTGCTGCACAGAGGCCAAGGTCTGCTCTTCAACAGCATGTTTAAATCCAGGATGTATAAATTAAACTATATGGAAACAAGAAGATATTCTTTTACTGTAGAATTGGTGAGGAAAAAGTCACTGGAGATTTACCAGCAGTATAACTGAGTCTTTGTGTCTTTTTACTTTCAGTCCCAATTACACTTGAAAACTTTAACAGACATGTTAATATGTTTATTACACTCCTACAATAAAATATGTCCCAATAAAGGACGTGGTGGCACTGCAGAAGCCTCTGTGCCACGAGGTCAGAAGACCAGCAGTCATAAGATCAAATCCATGCGACGGAGTGAGTTCCCATCACTTATCCCAGCTCCTGCCAACCTAGCAGTTCAAAAGCATGTAAATGCAAGTAGATAAATAGGTACTGCCTCGGTGGGAAGGTAATGGCTTTCCATGTCTAGTCGCGCTGGCCATGGAAACTGTCTACGGACAAACGCTGGTTCTACCGCTTGGAGATGGGGATGAGCACCGCACCCTAGAGTCAGACACGACTGAACTAAATGTCAAGGGGAACCTTTACCTTTACAATACAGTACAGGGAAGCTTTTGACTTCTGTAAGAATCTTTATTGGGTTAAGCACTACAGAGCACTGGTGAACCAATGCATATTCTCTTAAGTTATTTTCATATAAAGTATCTATAGATAAAGAAAATAGTCTCTCTGTCCAACTCACACAAAGTAACACTGATCATAGCCAACCATGTTTGCCTTCAGACATCTAAATCCTGTTGCTAACCTCAACTAATATTGAACCATTGAATGAAATATGAAATGGGTGGATACCATTGTTTGCAAATCCCCATTAATGTAATGGTTCTACCCTTGTTTGGACTCCACTGAGAATCACTAAAAGAAGTTGTTAAAAGGTAATTTCTCTCAAGAAATGCGAAAAACACAGAAAACACCAGGCACTCAATTTTACAAATATTTACAGAAAGAGAAGTAGATACAGAAGTACAGTATAACATTTCTCCTTGTCTAAAGATTTGCACACAAATAAAAATGTCCCATACCTGTACATTTAAAAAACCACATTCTTTTGCTTAGAATTACTCTAGTGTCAAGGTTTGTTTATACCCCATCTATCTGGTCATTGCGACCACTTTAGGTGGCTTACAACATACAATACAACACAAATATAAGAAAAAAATATAACACAATTATACCCCATATTATAAATTTCTGACATAACATTGGCGGTGAGAGCAATATTAAGTCAGAATAGCAGCCAGCATTTTGTGTGGACTCAGAGAGCATCTTAAATGTATCACCATAATCATCTGCTGTGCAGAAAGATTATTTAACATGCAGAATTCTATGTAGTAATGGTGACAGAAAGCTCAGATGCCAAAAGATTTGTGTGTTGGGTAGGTGGAATAAGTATTTTGAATTAATCTGTTGTTAAACAGTTAGAAAGGGACGTGGTGGCGCTGTGGGCTAAACTGCAGAAGCCTGTGCTGCAGGGTCAGAAGACCAAGCAGTTGTAAGATCGAAGCCACGCGACGGAGTGAGCGCCCGTCGCTTGTCCCAGCTCCCGCCAACCTAGCGGTTCAAAAGCATGCAAATGCGAGTAGATAAATAGGTACCATCTCGGTGGGAAGGTAAACAGCGTTCCGTGTCTAAATCACACTGGCCACGTGACCACGGAAAGATTGTCTTCGGACAAAATGCTGGCTCTATGGCTTGAAGAGCAGGATGAGCGCCGCCCCCTAGGGTCGGACACGACTGGACAAAAATTGCCCAGGGGAACCTTTACCTTTACCTTTACTAAACAGTTAGAAGCTATGATATGTTGGGATATGGGTCTGATGAAAGATGCCCCAATTGTGTGTAAGAAACAATGGGAAAACTAGAACTTAGGATCTGTTCTTCTTTTACTACAGCTCTCAGAATCTCTCAGCAATCAATCATGGCTCTATTGAAAAGCACCCATAGATTGGAGTGGATGACTTCAGCAGGTCTAGAGGGCAGCTTTTTATCCCAGGACTTTCTGAGGTGTTAAATAGTACAGGAGACCCAGCCTTCCAGGAGTTACAATTCATCTTTTTAACCAGAACAAGAGGTTGGGGGAGAGCTGGAGGTCACATCAAAAGCATGGGTGCGGGCAGCTCCAGTTTGTCTACAGAAGAGTAGACTATTAACCACACTATTAACCACCTATCTCATCTGATTCTGGAAGCAGAGCAGGTTTGTGGTCGGGACTGGTTACTGCTTGGAACGCAGATGACCAAGGAGCACTATAGATCTCAGACAGGAGAACAAATCTGGAAATCACATTTCCCCCAGTTAGGAAAGGTGCAGCCTTACAAGGTTGACACTGACCTGTGCAGTAGGATACTCTGAACCGAATCCAGATCCTCCAAGTTCCTGGTGACAGGTCTGGGAATTCTCTGCTTGTTAACACGAAACATACTGCAGAAACCGGCACCTCCTCCTCCTCTTCATTGCCCGGGTACTTACTAAGCTGCGCTCGCACGATCCACCGGGTTCCGTGCGCGGTTTTTAGATACGACCTACTGTACCTCGCTTCCCCAGGTAACAGAGACAGCGAAGGAAGAAGAAGGAGCAAGTTCAATCGCTACAAAGCTGAACAGCTCCGGGAAATCGACCGCTGCCTCTTTAACGTGTGTAAGCATCCAATGATTTTCGCTTCCTTCCAAGACAACATAATTGGCAGTTGCTTTCCTAGAAGGGAAACAGGGATCTCTGGCCATCAAGTGGCGGCGAACTCAAATCAGCCACCAAAAAAAACTGCAAACTCTTCTGCAGAGCAGATTTTGCGATCTGCTTTAACAAGCAGAGCAGGTGGGACCCACTTTCCCCTCCCTCCTTCTTATGATATTCTCCGAGGTCTTAACGTCCCCTCTCCACCCGCTGTAAAGTGGGCAGGGATTATTGGAGCTTTCAAAGTCTTGATTACACAAGGCTGTAATTGTATATATATATTTGATTATAAGTGCTCAGTGACTGAGATCTGACTTCAGAGGGGAAAAAGAGAAGAGAGAAATATCAGTGGTGTTAACATTGTTCAGTGCCTTGCAAACAAATTGTGAAAAAGTTGGCAACTGAAATTCTTTTGACAAAGATGATGGGTGGAAGGTATGGATGGCTTGACAATTAAACTTTTATTTAAAAATCAAGGCTTAATTAACATTAAAGTAAATAAACAATTATGGTGTTTTGTGAGGATCTAACCAATGCTAAAAAGTATCAAGTATTTCTGGAGTTAGGATTTCAGGAAACAGCTTTAAAAAAAGACTAGAACTGCATCTTAGAAGTCCAGTAAACAAAAACATTATAATATTGTGTATAATTAATACTAAATATGAGCCAATCTGGTGTAACAAATAAAGTAACAGACTAGAATTTAGGAGGTTGGGATCCAAATCCCCATTTAGCCATGAAAATTCATCAGGGAGATGACAGCAATCGCAAAACACTCTCTGAACATCTCACGTACCTCAAAACTCCTATTTGAGTTCAACAAGATGCCAACAACTTTATGACATATACAAAAACAAATACCAGTTCTGCACTGCATGAATAAAATATAGAGAGCTAGCTTAAATGGAAATGTATGCATGCTGAATGTACCAGAGCTTGGTTTCTGCTGGAGGAAATGATCCCACTTCTTCTCAGGTCTCAGGAGTTATGTTTTTGGACTGCAGGTCCCAAAATACCCCAATTAACATGAAGATTCTGGTAAATTAAAAAAAACTTTCCAGGCTGTGAGAAAGTTGTAGTAATGACTAATTTCTCCATGAGAAACAATTTGGTGGCCAAAATACTCTTACCTAGTTATGATGGCATAGTGCAAACAGCATAATTTTTGGACATGAATTTCCCAGTATTCAGAAATGACCATTGATATTTTCAGTTGCATACTGACTTGTATGCCTCAATATGGCTAAGTTACACTATTTGTGTAGTTATGCAAGAAGATCTTGGCCAGTATCTTCTTTTAGGTCAGCCATTCTCACCGGGGTGCATGGCCCTCTGTGAAGCCCTGGCACATTTGAAGGGGGATGCAGACTGGAAACAATTCTTCACACACCACCTTAAATGATTTGTTTTCCTGGCTGGGCCTATATTTCTTTTGTATTGTGTTTATGGATGTGGCCCAAAAAAGTTTATGGATGTGGCTGTTTTAGATGATTGAGGAACAGCCTCAGGAGCCTGTGTGTCTATGTTAATGCTGATCTAGCCACTGTAAAACTGTGCCAGCTTCTTGAGATTTCAGAGTGAAAAGATGAGACTAGAGGGGCATGCCCTTGTGATGTCAGAGGGAGAGGTGGGGCAAGCAAGGTTTAGGAGAGAAGTAAACATGACATACATTTAAACAGATTGCTAGTGAGCTAGTGAGATCTGGCATCAGCTGGCAATGGGTGAAAGTTCAGGCTTTAAAGCAGGACTTGAAAGAAATTGAGAACAAGCAATGTACTTATCTATATCTAGTTAGTTTGGGATAATAAGCAATGTAACTAGTACTTAAAAATTTATTTTATAATTAGTTACTCATTTAAGTTAATGAATAATGCCTCATTACTTTCAAAAGTTACTTTTAGAGGGCATTTTAGGACATTTCAGAAGCATTTCAACAGGATTTTGTCAGGCTTTATGTCATTCTCATATCAATGAAACATATAGTATGGGTGTCAGCACTCGTTGTTGTTGTTTAGTTTTTAAGTCATCTCTGACTCTTCGTGACCCCATGGCCCAGAACACGCCAGGCCCTCCTGTCTTTCACTGCTTCCCAGGGGTTTGGTCACATTCGTGTTGGTAGCTTTGGTGACACTCTCCAACCATCTCATCCTCTGTCGTCCCCTTCTCCTCTTGCCTTCACACTTTCCCAACATCAGGGCCTTTTCCAAGGAGTCTTCTCTTCTCATGAGATGGCCAAAGTATTGGAGCTTCAGCTTCAGGATCTGTCCTTCCAGTGAGCACTCAGGGCTGATTTCCTTTAGAATGGATAGGTTTGTTCTCTTTGCAGTCCAGGAGACTCTCAAGAGCCTCCTCCAGCACCACATTTCAAAAGCATCAATTCTTCAGTGGTCAGCCTTCTTTATGATCCAGCTCTCACTTCCCAACTTGTCCCAGCTCCCACCAACCTAGTGGTTCGAAAGCATGCAAAATGCAAAATGCAAGTAGATAAATAAGTACCATCATGGTGGAAAGGTAACGGCATTCCGTGTCTAGTTGCGCTGGCCACGTGACCACGGAAGATTGTCTTCGGACAATCGCTAGCTCTATGGGTTGGAAACGGAGATGAGCACCGCCCCTTAGAGTCGGACGCGACTGGACAAATTGTCAAGGGGAACCTTTACATTTACCTCATTTCCACACATCACTACTGGAAAAGTCATAGCTTTGCCTATGCAGACCTTTGTCGGCAAAGTGATGTCTCTGGTTTTTATGATGCAGGCATCTTTTAATTTTGTGGCTGCTGTCACCATCTGCAGCACGCATACCTATTTGTATTTATATACTGTTGTATGCCAGGGATGGACAACTTGTGGCTCTCTAAATGTTGTTGGACTACAATCCCTATCAGTCCTAGCCAGCACAGCACTACTCACATTGCTTATTGTATTCCACAAGAGATGCCTCAATATAAAATACACATGCTCACCATATTCTTCATACTAATAGCAAACACATTCTTCAGACACGGGGTTTGTATAACTAGTATGGCAGCATCCATGCACAAGATGGAGGTTTCAGCAGGATCAGAGGAACCTGAAGGTTGGAGAAGTATAAAAACTATTTGGGAGGAAAATGAAATGAGGACTGCCATGCTTAGTGGCCACAGAAGTTTATGTGGCCTTTGGAGCTATCTCTGGCAAAAGCCAGTGTGGGGAGAGGAATGGAATTGAGTACTCTGAAGTGAGGATAGTGTTACTTTGACTGTGATCCTGGGCACATGAAGCTTGGAGTATGTCCCACTAAATTTAACAGGATTTACGTCTCATCAAGAACTTACCTAAACCTCTGCTATTGATTGCAAGTCAAAACTATTTATCACCCATTTGGTGGTATTTATATGCTACAAATACAGTTGCTGAAAACTCCAGTGGTGTTCTATTGTGAGGATAATGTGGAAGACAACTGACCAAAACAGCTATGGCTTTATGCTTTGGATATTGTATCATGGACATTAAAAAAAATTACAAATTTTGAAAAGGGCCTCTACTAAGGATGTTCCAGATATGCCACATATTGTTCTTCGTTTGGCTTCTTTTTGTTCACTTAGCATCAGGTTAATGATGCTTCCCATTTCTGTGCTGCAGTTGTGAAGCTTTTCTTTCCCCCTGATGCAGAGTGCTACTCTGACAAAAAGCTTTGGAGCAGATGTTCACTGCATATGTGAAGTGTCGTAGGAAAGTGCCATGGTGCCAAACTCTGCCCCACTCCCCAAGTACTAAGTAGTACAAAAATAAAGTTTGGTTCTAGCAGAGACAAAAAGGGGATGGAAACTCAATGAAGAAGAAAATGCTGGAAATATTAAAGCCCACATAAGATGCCTTCAAGAAGTTTTGGCTGGGAACAACCTTAAGTTACTGTCCACTAGGAACCAATAATTCCTTCTCTGCCTCAGATTTTGAAGAGAGCCTCTCTACTCAAAAAATCTTTTCCCAGTCAGGAGTCAGTTAGAGTTTTGTAGTCAGTTCAGTTCTGTGGTCAGTATGAAGCTAATTACTCAGTTAAGTTTGTTCATGTAACTAACTAGTCAATATTTTTTCTACAGAATGCTGTTTGGTTTGATCTATGCAGAACTGCGAGTAAATGAAAACCTTTAACTTATTTTCTCTTACTAATGTCTCTGATTCAATTATTGAGACAGTAAGTGCCATTTGATGAGAATCAAACAATAAGGAGTGGTCTACTGTGGGGAGACTTGAAGCTAATTCTGCTCCGTAGGTCCCTAAACTTTTATCTGCTGCATAGCTAGAGGTATTTAAACCACAACATTTCCACATTCTGTGAATAGAAACATATGAAGAATATAGTTGAGATATCTGGGAAATTTCCAAAAAATTCAGAGCACAACCTGAATAGAAACATATGAAGAATATAGTTGAGATATCTGGGAAATTTCCAAAAAAATTCAGAGCACAACCCAGTCCTTAAGGTGGAATAAACACTATGTCCAGAAAACCCTTTGGGTTTATTTATATAAGCCACATTAGCTGTTATTGCTCTAGACAAAACTACTGACTGATTTCCTATTGAATGCATCAAAATGTAGTTCCGCAACCACTGACAGCATTACCTCTTTCTAACTTCTCTCTAACTGTGTACAGAATCCTGGAGGATTGCAGAACAGTCACATTGTATCCGTTAATTAGATCCAAAAATATTTAGATCAGACTTGTTTATGGATTAAGAGCTCTATGTCCATGCCAATGTCTAGTCTGTTTTAGATTTTGCTGAGGCCAGCCCAAGACATTTTACTGGCAGAGAAGAGCGAGGTGACACCCTCCTATTCCATGTACAGCGAGTCAGAATGGCAAGGGAGGCTGCACAACATATACAGCTCCCCCATAAAACACCCTACCACCACTCTTACTGCAGCATAAGGCAGCTCCTTCATTCTGCCTAATGGAAGGGCAGA